CACAATGTTTCATACGTTCAGAAAGTGCTGTTGCATGCAGCGCGGCTCCTGAAATTTGCACCGCATTATGTTGCAAGAAGGCCAGGATTGGAAGGCCGTCTTGGCATTCTGCGAGCTGGAGACCAAGTTTGGACTGCTGGGTGGTTTATTGCAAGTAGAAAGGAAGCTTAGGAGAAAAACTGTATTTGATGCGTGACTGCGCCAGTGAGTGGAGTGAGTGAGATGAGCGAGATGAATGAGATAAGTGAGATGAGATGGGATGGGATGAGCGGGTGGGTGAGGGCATGAGTCAGCAAACACAACACCTGCCACACAAAAGCGTCGGGCCCCAGCGGCCAAGCGCTCAGCCAATCTCTTCGATAAATGACTGATGAGAGTGAAAGAGGAGGCGACGGAGGAGGAGAGGAAAGCAGGAGGCAGGTACCCGTACGATCCCGTACGTAGATTGTTAATAATGGTTTCCAGGAAAGCTTGCATTGATGCTAGCAATATTTACCAGTAGTACCGCCTTGTTTCAGAAATAGGAAACCTATAGGAGAGGTTGGTTTTTGTGAATCAGGGATGGCAGAGCGAAACCACTGATGACCGAAAGGTGGTTGAGGTCTCCTCTTTTTCTCTCTCTTTCTCTCTCTTTCTCTGACTATCTACCTACCTACCTTGGAACGACCGGTGGCCTCTTTATATAGTGGTTTCTGTCAGACTCCAAAATCATTAAAATCCGTCTTGGAACCTATATAGCAAATCTTGGAAACTATATTGGGAAACTTGCCCTGTAAGAGCGTCTGTGATGTAATAAGACAAGCGGGGACTCAACATATGATACCGCCAGCTACCTCACATCACACCCGCAAATGATAAGAACATAACCGTGACATGAGGCCGCCTGCGACCCCAAATGGCAAGAGAACATGTTGAAAGGGAAGTTAGCCAGAGCCACATGCCATATATGGTTCTATTCGCACGTCCTCGCACCACTGACAATGAGTGCTTCGGAAATGTGCGACGATGGTTTTTGCTTTCTGTTTTAAACTTGCCAAACGCTGAAAATAAAGCCATGGCCACATGGCAGCATTGTCCGTAGGTCAATATGAAGAAAGGCAATCAATATGATATAGTTGCAAACCCCGTAAAACAATAAAATTCAGGTATACCTGTGAACCAGGTACAGTCCGGAACCGTTCAGAATCGTTCCCGACCGGTCCTGGCACAGTGGAACAATGGCCAAAACACTATGAAATACAATTTTGCAGCATTATACATGTATAGTTGGAGCATCCCGTGTGCTAGGAACGGTCAGGAACGGTTCCGAACGGTTCCGAACGGTTCCTGGCTCACGGGATTTGCGCGCATTGCTGGCACGTTTTGACATTTTCTGGCTTTCCAGTACTAAGAACTGTGCTGCCAAAAAAATGTCAGGAACACGGAACAAGGATGACTTGTAGAAAACAGAGAATCAGGAAGACCTTCAAACCAACAGGAACCCATGCCCCATGACCGCCGGAAAGCAAGCGCAAAGGCAGCAAACAATTTGACATGCTGTGGCATGATCGTGCGCCCCCAGAGCGCGCATCCGCTTGCATGCAACATGCAAGATGTCAGGGGGCCTCTTGTGCACTTTCGGGATCCGTTTCACAACATCTCGAACACCGCGAGTGGTGTGAATGGCCCACAGAGGGATTGCGAAATATTTCAACATGTTTTGGATTTTGGGCTTCATTCTTTATTTTTGGGCGTGCTATGTTTATGGGGTGCTAGGCTATGGGGCAAGGTAGCTGGCGGCAGCATATGTTGAGTCCCGGCTTGTCTTATTACATCAGAGAGAGTGCTACGGGACAAATTTCCAAATATAGTTTCCAAAATTTGTAATATAGTTTCCAAGATAGAAACATATAGTTTCTAAGACGTTTGATATAGCTTCCAACATGGGTTTTGGCCCACAGACAAAGAGGCCACCGGTCGTTCCACTACCTACCTACCTACCTACCTACCTACCTATGTATCTATCTATCGATCTATCTATCGATCTATCTATCGATCTATCTATCTATCTATCGATCTATCTATCTATCTGTCTATCTATCTGTCTATCTGCAAGCGTGAAAACGAAGCTATTCTGAGAGACTTCCTCAGTTTTTGAACTTGACAACATCAAAACCGCAGCAATTCAGCGAGACTTCCTCAATTTTTGCACTTGACAACGTCAAAAACGAAGCAATTCTGTGAGGCTTCCTGATTTTTGTAAGTTGACAACATCAAAAAACGAAGCAATTCTGCGAGATTTCCTTCAAAAATGGAAAGTTGAGTGCAGAGCTGACAGCCTCGTACCAATGCGTTTTGCGATTTTTCGATTCCACCTGTCTAAACTACTGCGCCTGCCACGAAAAAGTGATACCAGGTCATACGACATGCTGCACCTGTCACGCAAAATCATCCCAGCAAACCTGAAGATCTGATGCTCCAAAATGCAACCACTCTCAGGAAATCAGCGCCCTGACCTCCTAACATCTCTGATGAACATGTCTCTTGTATCGCCCCTGCTACGCGAAATGCATCTTTGCAGATCCTCTTCAAATGTCCCACGCCTGCCATCGTTTTTGGACATGCAACAAAACCTTCACGGTTTGCTCACTTTGGCAAGGTGCAGAACCCCTGGCGCCTGCCACGCGAAACGAAATCTGAACGTCCAAAAGTGCTCCGTACCCCTCAGCTTTTGCACTTTTGACTTCGGCATGTGCTTCGCACCACAACGGCGTGCACTTTTTCGACATCTCACCTTCCAAAAGTGGCCCCAAGCTTGTGTGTTTTGTGCATTTTGTCTTCGAAATGTGCTTCCCGCCACAACGGCGTGCACTTTTTCGACATCCATCAGTGGTCCGAACCTGTGTGTTTTGTGCATTTTGACTTGGAAAATCTTGGAAATGTGCTTCGCGCTACAACGACGTGCAATGTTTCATCTCCCATCTGGCCAGCTGGCTCCGCACCCGCCGCTTTAGCGAGCCTACTTTTCGACCTTCCGGCGCCTCAAATCATTGGAAAAACACCGCGTTTCGCGGCTTTCCTACCTTTTCGCGCACCTGGATCTTCTTTCTTCTGAGACTTTCTCTTTTTTGATCTTCTTTTTCTTCTCTTCTCTTCTCTTCTCTGACTCTTCCCACCTCTGCTCTTCATTTGTCCATATTGTCGGAAGTTTGACTTCTAAACTTCCTTCGACTATACCTAACACGGAAACTTACTGTAATAGAGTACAGTGTCGAGTGAGGTAGAGTAGAGTCTAGAGTAGGGTTGAGAAGAGTAGAGTAGGGAATGGCAGAGGGGAGAGTAGAGTTGCCACATGGATGAAAGGGCGGCCGAATCGAAGGCTTGCACCCGTCACGCCAAGCGAGGTTCCGACCCTCCAAAAGGATCCAACAATGACACGCGCCTGCCGCACAAAACGCGCACAGCTCCAAAACCGAGCAGGTTGCACAGGCGAGAACGCACCTCTGCAAGAGAGCTCTCCACGACCAGTTTTCCTGCGAGGCCTGAGGTCTCCATCAAAAACAGAAGAGCAAGGAACCTTTGCAACATGGATGCCCAAGACCTCAATCAAATCCTGCCTGAACCCTCAAAAACAGGCTGCTTTGCCTTGGCACTGAGATTCAGTTCTGGGAGTGGAACGTGAAGAGCTATCAAGAGACAAAGTGACAAAGATGTCAAGAGAAAAAGATGCCGCGAGAAGGAGACGTCAAGGAACGGAGATAATTTCATCAAGGGGCAGAGATGCCATGAGAAAGAGATGTCAAAAGCTAGAGGTGCCAAGAGAAAGAGATGCTAAGTGAAAGGCATGTGAAAAGGAAGGGATGTCAAGGAAAGGAGATGCCGAGAGAAAGAGATGTCACTAGAAAGAGATGAGAATAGAAACGAATGTCAAGATGAAAGTATGTAGTTTAGATGTGCCAAGAGAAAGAGGTGACTAGACACAGAGATGCCGAGGGAAAGAGGCGTCAAGGCCGTCAAGAAGAGAAACAGGGTTCAAATCCACAAACGGACATGAAATGACAAACAGCTGGCGTGAGAAGGCATCACCAACCATAAACGCATGAGAAGATACTGTAAATGACCTAAAAACAGAATTTTTATCAATGCGCAGGTGGTCTTGCACACATCCCTTAGGCGCATCCTTTCATGTGTCCTTTTGGGTTATTTCCCTCCGAAACTTCCGCCTCCAGCTTGCCCGGCACCCTTTGCCTGGGAAGAAATGTTGCACGCATTTGTACGCTGCTGACCTTTCGCCGTTGCGTTGCGTGTTGATGCTCTTGTCAATTTGTTCGACAAGGTCAAGAAGGCAGCAACTGATACCCAATGTATCCAAATGTTAGGTTTTCTTTTTGCCCAGAATTGTTTCACGCCAAAACAGAAACTGTTTCCCACTTTGTGTGCCTAAGTTGCCTGAGGGACATGCACCGCTTGTAGCACCACTCTCCTGCGGACTCCTCCGTTATAAACGGCAAGGAAAGTGGGCCATCTCCCCAGGTGTGTTTGACTTGCACAAAACATTGTCCGGAAGCAGGAAAAAGGATGAAATATTATGAAATATTCGGTTTGCACCAGCAAAAATGATTCCACGCTCTCGTATGGTAGGTCCTAGAGAAGCCTGGTTGTGAATGAACCTTGCGTCACGCACCTTTTGGCTTAAACCTTGAGGGCCCTTGAGCTTGGCGTGGCGACGAGTCAAAAGGATCCTGCCAAGATTCAAACTGGTAGCGGAGCAGGGTCTAGAGGGTGGTCCCCGGGGTTTGGTTCTCACGGTAACTCGCAGACCCAGGACGGTGAGATTGTGATTGTGTGTGTGAGACAGGTTAGCGCTGATCAAGACCCACGACAGCTTCTCAAAGAAGGACTCAACATGATTGAACCATGTCCCTTGCAGGATTGAGGTATCAGTCTGTGACCTTTGGCACGGCTCCTCAGGAGACGAAGTCTTGGTTCTTACATCTACTCTGGAAGCCATAGTGGGTTCCATGCGTGGGAGTTCGGAGCCCGAGTGCGCGCGGAGTTCCTCCAACAGAAGATTAGGAAAAGGGTTTTGGAACACAAGTTCAAATCCGCGTCAACTTCACCGGAACGAGGACGTGCTGAAAGGAGCCCGGTCGTTGGACGAGGAGACACTGAACCCCGGTCGGGTGTTGCGGCTGGACGAGGACAGAGCGATCCTGGAAGCCCTGAAGAAGGACAACAAGATGGGCAAGGTGGGCGAAACGATTGGGAGAGCGACCAGCAGGAGGTGGAGCGATCAGACTTTGCTTCACCTCGTGATGCACCTAGCTTTCCTCGCTCAGTCGACGATGAACAGCTGTCAGGAGAGTTTGATTCTCTGAGGGCTGAGTTAGTGCAGAAAGGCAGCTCAGGACCTGGGAGTCGAGACCCTCATGAAAGATATGACCTTTCCTTTGCAGTGTCTAGAGGCTACGGAGCTTTTCAGAGTTGGTCAGGTGCAACGGAGTCCCTTGTCACGGCAACAAGGAGAATCAGTGGTTTCCTTCATTTCACGACATCGCAGATGGTGGCGCCTGGTGAAAGAGCTTGATAAGCAGGCAAAGCACCTGCAGAGTCGGTTGAAAGCCTGGAGGAGAGATGCCTACTTCACACCGTTGTGCAGCTGCCATGATGAGCAGATGGGTGAGTTGAACAGGATGGCCCAAGCAAGTGACGTTAGATAGGCATGCACAACAGAGGTTGACATGCAGAAAATGCTGGCATCTCATGGCTGCGAAGGTATCGTTGCATCACTGGAAACGCCCACCGCCATAGGGAAAGCCATGCTCCGGAAAATTGTGAACGACTATGAACGACACAGAAGCCGTAGGAGAAAAGGACTTCCCAGTGTGCTTGCACAAGGCCATGGCTGTCAAGAACCAGATGAGAAGGACCCATGGATACAGTCCAGCTCAATGGGCACGTGGCAGGAACCCAAGGATGCTTAGCGGTGTGACCCACTTGGATGAGGCTGGCAACCTTGGAGTGCTTGAAGATTCACTTGATCCATCAGCCCGTTTTGATTCGAACTATTCAACCACAATGAGCGCTCAAAGAGCATGTGTGCATTTGGACACGGCCTCGCATCTCCAAAGAGCACTGTTGTGCAATGCAGCTGTACAAGACCGAACGCAAAGTCGGCGATCTTGTAGTGTATCATCGTGGCAATCAAGTGGGTGGAACAGTTTGGCCCACAGCGCCACGTATCATTGATTCAGACCCGCGCAGACGAGCTTGGCTTCTCCACGAGGGAGTCCCTGCGCTGGTGGCAGAGAACAAGGTGACGTCAGCAGATAAAGCGGAGACCCTGGCATACCCACTGCTGCACAACATTCCAGTTTTGCCTGAAGGGATCGTGTTGGGACCCCATCAACAAAAGTATTTGAGAGCGGCCGGCAATGTACCGTGGAGCTGCTGCAGCAGGAAGCGGTCGTGGACAGAATTGTGAAACGGAAGACATCTTGGAGCCTTTGGAGTTTGAGCTGTACCCACATGGATGACCCCCGCTTTGCCTATATGGACAAGGGGAAGGATGCAGCCGATGCAATCCTCAACCGCTTCTCGAAAGGGTCATTGCGCTATTGCGGTCATCGTTTTTCCCAAGATGATGATATCACAATTCATGCGGACGTGCGAGACAATATTCGGAACCCGGCTGCAAGTCATGGACGAGACCGGAAGATGAATGAACCCCTGCCCCAGGACGAACTGACTTCACTTCGAAGTGTCGTTGGAGGACTGGCATGGGCGCGCAGATATGAAAGGCCAGATCTTGTGCACCGCGCGAATGAATTTCAACGATGTTGCCATTCCAAAAGTATTGTCCAAAGTTTGAAGGATGCTAATCGAGTTGTCGAACTTGCCTTGCAGGGAAATGACTTCAAAATCACTTCAAGACCGACTTGGTTGATTGGAAAGACCTCGCGGCCGTTACCTTTTCTGACGCCAGCTTCGCGAATGAGGCTGAGTTCAAGAGTCCGCAAGGACCCCATTATATACATCGCACCACGGAATGATGTGAAATTGGGTGAGCACAAATTTCACTTGGTTGTGTTTGGATCGTCGGCCTTGAAACGAGTGCGTCGAGCCAAGTTGCAGGCTGAGGTGTATATATATATATATATATGCTATTCAGGGATCAGTCGGGTCAGGAGACAAGTTGCGTGCTTTGCTTTGTGGATTGACTGGCAATTTCGAATCGGTCAAGGACCCAGGATTGGTATGAACAGAGCGCGCGATGCTGCATCTGTACTTCACAGGTTGCCGTTCCCTGAGCGACCACTTGTTTTGCGAGGCTGCAAGGTGCAGGACAAATCCTTGGGAATAGAACTTTCCGCGCTGAAGCAGGCTCTGTGGATCAATGGAGTCTTTCCAGCTGGTCATTAGATCGAACGGATTGACACCGGCAGACAGTGGGCAGACTGTTTGACCAAGAGTATGAAATTCTGAAACCTGACTACTTAGTCAAGTTGCTTGCTGCGGGATACATGAAAATGTGAAGAAGCCGAACTGAGAGACTTGAAAATGGATATTGGAACCGTCTGGTAGGCCATTTTTTTTGGCCATTCATTCCAATAGGGATAGAGTTGCATTACCTGTTTTGTATATAGTACTGCCGCATTCACACCAGTAGAAAGACGGGTGTGATTCCACGCCGTCGTGCGGTAGGTCTCAGAGAAGCCTGGTTGTGGATGAACCTTGTGTTACGCACCTTTTGGCTTAAGCCTTTGCGACGAGTCAAAAGGATCCTGTCGAGATTCAAGCAATATTTGGCCATGATGGAGTTGATCATTTTTGTCACAATTTTGCCTTCCTCATTGCTTTGTGCACACTGATGTCGCAAGAGTTCCATTCCTTTCCAATCTGAGACTGAATGCGAGGTGCCTGTCGTGCTACGTGGGGGTTTCATGTCTGTCAAAGGCGACGTTGTAAGGAACTTATGCTTCCGTGCTTGTAAGTTTGAACCATGTGTTTTGAGCGTTTAGGGAATCATGGGTTTGGAAATACATGCATTTGACCATTTCAGGATAGAAACGATATGCGGTGAGATAATTCCCTGTGTGTATGCAGTGTTTGCACCCAGTATCACATTTGCCCGCGTGCAATGGAAGTTTCCCAGGTCACCATTCTGACAAATGATGCAGAACGTGGTCCAGAAATACCGCTTGTAGAGGACTTCAAGCCAAAGAGAACCTCAAGCGTGCCTGGTTGTTGTTTGATATGTCGTTTTTCGCGGTGGGAGGGATGTGCTGACAAGGAGGCAAAGCTCCAGCTGGAGCAATACACCCAAAAGTTGGAGCAATGCAGTTCCAGGAGTCCATGTCAAAAGTGAGTCGCGAAAAGGTTAGAGGTTGCTATGGGTCAATGTTGCTTTCAAGATCTTGATTTCCTCCAGTTTCAGAAGCAGTCAGCTGCCTCGCCATCCGGCGGAGGATTGAGCGGATGGCAGCAGTGGATGCTGTGCGGCTAGCATCAGCCAGGTTACAGGCTTCCAGGGCCGTTGCAGTTCCAAAGTCAATTCAATTTTTGTTTTCGATCTTGGTCAGGCTGCCATGCTCCTTGCCAAGGCAAAGTGAGCTTCGGGTTTGATGTTTTTTCTTGACGCTAACTTTTACCTCGTTGCTTCTGACACGGAGCGGGCAAAAAAAGCTCGGCAAATACGAAGGATGATCTTGTGGCTGCTGTTTTTTACGTATAAAGCTTGAATTGTTCCCCGCCTTTGCGGCTGCTGTTGATTTGGTAAATCATGTGGGAAGCAAGTCACGCTGCGGCGAAAAAAATCCAGACTTGGGATCTTTGCGCATTCCATTTCAATAAGCTTTCGACAGGCAGCTATCGGAATCATCCATGGTTCCCGGACAAAAAGTTCCCAAAGACCAGATTCCCAACAACATGAAGACAATCGGTCCCCCAAGCATTTTCTGAAGAAGAAAGAGATTTCGAAGCAAACTGTTCTCAAAGAATGTTATTGGGTTCAAGGTTCACTCGCAAGGGTTTCAAGTGACAAGGTCCCTAAGGCACCGGTAAGCTATGGTTGACGAAATAGGAGGCCGTTGCCACCGGAATGTCCACAAGTTGCCAAAATACCGCTATTTACCGTGTTTCGTTCCAAAACCTGTGTAAATACTAGCACTTTTTGAGATCAACCTGCCAAAAATGCTGTACTTTACAGATCTTTACAGTGTTATTTTCCTTTGCCTTCAAAAACATTGGTATTTGCAGTGTTTGGTGCATCTCTAGTTTAAAAGTAGTGGTATTTATAGCATTTTCAGTGTTTTTGCATTGTTCCCGCAAAATACATTAAAACGCAAAAATGCTGTAATTCACAGCATTTTGTTAGTCTTGAAAAGTAAAAAATCCTCCGCGAAATGTGTCAAAACGGCATGTTTTTCCAATTTTAGGTACCTTCAAAAGGTGGAAGGTGGAGACGCTTATGAGCGACCCGGATTCCGTCCAAAAAGCTCTGCCCCAGCAGAGTGAAAGATTTTTGGTGTTTTCCGGGGCCCGGGGTCGGAGGGTCGGCAGCGTGGGGCGCGCCACACCATAGAGCTCTAGTCGCTCTGTGACGGCCGGCGGACCCGAATTTTAGAGCTGACGCTCATCGTCGTCGATGTCATGGCAGGGTGGGCTTGAAAGCTATCGAATGAGGACCTGCTGCTTCAGAAATATATTCCTTATGCTACTGCGGTTTTTTCTTGGAGCAAGTGGCGAAGGCTTGTTCCCGAAAGCTCCTGCCAAGGGTTTTTCCTAGAGAACTGCTGCCAATTTCACCTTTCCACTTCGTGTAAAAGCCCCTCTGTGTAAAGACTTCTCTGTGTAAAAGCTTCTGTGTGTAAAAGCTTCTGCGTGTAAAAGCTTCTCTGTGTAGAGACTTCTCTGTGTGAAAGCTTTTGTGTGTAAAAACTTCTGCGCGTGAAAGCTTCACTGTGTAATCACTTCTCTGTGTATTTTTTTTAACGCACCTGTGTGTAAAAGCTTCTCTAGATAAAGGCTTCTCTGTGTAAAGACTTCTGTGTGTGAAAGCTTCCGTGTGTAAAAGATCTCTGTGTAAAGACCTCTTTGCGTAAAAGTCTCCGCCTGTGTGTTAAAGCTCTCTGTGTAAAGACTTCTTTGTGTAACAGCGTCTGTGTGTACAGTGTAACAGCGTCTGTGTGTAACAGCTTCTGTGTCCTCTGTGTAAAGGCTTCTCTGTGTAAAAGCTTCTGTCTGAAAAAGCTCCTGGGTGTAAAAGCTTCTCTGCGTAAAGATTTCTCTGTGTAAACACTTCTGTGTGTGAAAGCTTCCATGTGTAAAAGCTCTCTCTGCCAAGACTTCTTTCTGTAAAAGTTTCTGTTTGTAAACACGCCTGTGTGTTAAAGCGTTCTGTGTTTTAAAGACTTCTTTGTGTAACAGCGTCTGTGTGTAACCCTTGTGTGTAAAAGCTCCTCTGTGTAAAGGCTTCTGTGTAAACGCTTCTGTGTGCAAACGCGTCTGTGTGTAAAAGCTCTCTGTGTAATCACTTCTCTGTGCAAAAGCTTCTGTGCGTAAAAGCTCCTCTGCGTAGTTAAAGTTAAAGACTTCTCTCTGTGTAAAAGCTTCTGCGTGTAAAAGCCAGTCTGTATAAAGACTTCCCTGTGTAAAAGCCTCTCTGTAGAAGCTTCTGTGTCTAAGAGCCGCTCTGTGTAAAAACTTCTCTGTGTAAAAGCCCCTGTGTATGTAAAAGCTTCTGTGTGTAAACTCGTCTTTGTAAAAGCTCCGGACCAGCAGCCTTCATCATCATATTTTCCTGTGTGCTATCTTCTCGTCTCCTCCCTCCAGCTTTCTTTCAGGCCACGCTGTCGTCTAGTTTCAGTCTGTAACGTCGTTTCTTGTTGAAGAACCAAGAACATGTGAATGAAGCAGCGTCTGTGTGTAGCAGCTTCTGTGTGTAAACCCTTGTGTGCAAAAGCTCCTCTGTGTAAAGGCTTCTCAGAAGCTTCTCTGTAAAAACTTCGTTGTGAAAAAGCTTCTGGGTGTAAAAGCTTCTCTGTGTAAAGATTTCTCTGTGTAAAAACTTCTGTGTGTGAAAGCTTCCATGTGTAAAAGCTCTCTCTGCCAAGACTTCTTTCTGTAAAAGCTTCTGTTTGTAAACGCGCCTGTCGGTTAAAGCTTTCTGTGTAAAGACTTCTTTGTGTAACAGCGTCTGTGTGTAACAGCTTCTGTGTGTAAGCACCCTTGTGTGTAAAAGCTCCTCTGTGTAAAGGCTTCTCTGTGTAAAAGCTTCTGTCTGAAAAAGCTTCTGGGTGTAAAAGCTTCTCTGTGTAAAGATTTCTCTGTGTAAAAACTTCTGTGTGTGTGAAAGCTTCCGTGTGTAAAAGCTCTCTCTGTCAAGACTTCTCTGTGTGAAAGCTTTTGTGTGTAAAAACTTCTGCGTGTGAAAGCTTCTCTGTGTAAAGACTTCTTTGTGTAACAGCGTGTGTGTGTGTGTGTAACAACTTCTGTGTGTAAGCGCCCTTGTGTGTAAAAGCTCCCCTGTGTAAAGGCTTCTCTGTGTAAACGCTTCTGTGTGCAAACGCGTCTGTGTGAAAAAGCCCTCTGTGTAATCACTTCTCTGTGTAAAAGCTTGGGTGCGTAAAAGCTTCTCTGCGTAGTTAAAGTTAAAGACTTCTCTCTGTGTACAAGATTCTGCGTGTAAAAGCCAGTCTGTATAAGTATAAAGACTTCTCTGTGTAAAAGCCTCTCTGTAGAAGCTTCTGTGTCTAAGAGCCGCTCTGTGTAAAAACTTCTCTGTGTAAAAGCCCCTGTGTGTGTGTGTAAAAGCTTCTGTGTGCAAACTCGTCTGTGTAAAAGCTCCGGACCAGCAGCATTCATCATCATATTTTATTATGTGCTATCTTCCCGTCTCCTCCCTCCAGCTTTCTTTCGGGCCACACTGTCGTCTATTGTCAATCTATAACGTCGTTTCTTGTTGAAGAATGCCAAGAACATGTGAAAGCATCGCTCGTTCAAAACTTGAACATAAACAGCGCCAAAAGTGCTGTAATTTACAGCATTTTTCGCTGTCAGATGGCAAGAACCCGCATAAATACCACAGTTTTTGTCTTTGAAAGTGGATACAACGCTGTTATTTACAGGGTTTCGCTCACATCACGATCGTCAATTTTTTGAAAAACGTGTAAATGCCAGCGTTTTTTTGCCGAGAGCGTCTGAGCGCCGGGTTCTTCCAATAGTGGGGGTCTGTCTCTCATCTTCTCATCCTCACATCTTATCATCTTCACATCCTCACATCTTCACATCTTCTCATCCTCACATCTTCTCATCTTCATATCTTCTCATCTTCACATTTTCTCATCATCTTCACACATTCACATCCTCACATCTTCACATCTTCTCATCTTCACATCTTCTCATCTTCACATCTTCTCATCTTCACATCTTCTCATCATCTTCACACATTCACATCTTCACATCTGCTCATCTTCACATCTTCTCATCCTCACATCTTCACATTTTCTCATCTTCACATCTTCTCATCTTCTCATCTTCATATCTGCTCATCTTCACATCTGCTCATCTTCACATCTTCTCATCCTCACATCTTCACATCCTCACATCTTAACATCTTCTCCTCTTGCCTTCTTGCCCTCTTGCCCTCTTGCCCTCACATCTTCACATCTTCACATCCTCTCCTCTTGCCCTCTTGCCCTCTTGCCCTCTCCTTCTTTTCTATTTCTCTTCTGAAGGCGGGGGCAGGGGCAGTGCCAACGAGACGGCACGAAACGCAACCCTTTCGCACGAAACGAGGTTCGATCGCCAAAAACTGAGGTAAAGTTGCGATTCCCAAGTCGTCCGGCGCAACCTTTTCGCACGAAATGAGGTTCGATCCCTAAAAACTGAGGTAAAATTGCGATTTCACTTGTCCCGCGAACCCTTTCGCACGAAATGAGGTTCGATCGTCAAAAACTGGGGTAAAATTGCGATTTCAACTTGTCCGGCGCAACCATTTCGCACGAAACAAGGTTCGATCGCCAAAAACTGAGGTAAAATTGCGATTTCAAGTTGCCCCGCACAACCCTTTCGCACGAAACGAGGTTCGATCGCCAAAAACTGAAGTGAAATTGCGATTTCAACTTGTCCGGCGCAACCATTTCGCACGAAACAAGGTTCGATCGCTAAAAACTGAGGTAAAATTGCGATTTCAAGTTGCCCCGCACAACCCTTTCGCACGAAACGAGGTTCGATCGCCAAAAACTGAAGTGAAATTGAAATTTCTCTTGTCCAATCGCGACCCTTTCGCATGAAATGAGGTTCAATCGCCCAAAACTGAAGCAAATTGCGATTTCCTGTGTGTAAAAGCGTCTGTGTGTAAACGCGTCTGTGTGTAAAAGCGTCTGTGTGCAAAAGCGCCTGTGTGTAAAAGCGTCTGTTTGTAAAAGTGTTAGTGTGTAAAAGCGTCTGTGTGTAAAAACTTTTGTGTGCAAAAGTGTCTGTGTGTCAAAGCTTTTGTGTGCGAAAGTGTCTGTGTGTCAAAGTGTTTGTACGTAAAAGCGTCTGTGTGTAAAAGCGTCTGTGTGTAAAAGCGTCTGTGTCTAAAAGCGTCTGTGTGTAAAAGCGTCTG